AGATCCCCGGGCCGCGGAGCAACTAAGCCCGTGCGCCACAACTACTGAGCCTGCGCTCTAGAGCCCGCGAGCCACAACGACTGAAGCCCACGCACCTATAGCCCGTGCTCTGCAACAAGAGAAGCCACTGCAGTGAGAAGCCTGTGCACTGCAGCGAGAAGCCTGTGCACTGCAGCGAAGAGGAGCCCCCGCTCGCCACAACTAGAGAAACCCTGCGTGCAGCAATGGAGACCCAACACAGTCAGAAATGAATAAATAAAATAAAATAAATTTTTTAAAATTTTATTTATTTGGCTGCACCGGGTCTTAGTTGTGGCACGCGGTATCTTTTCGTTGCAGCATGCGGGATCTAGTTCCCTGACCAGGTATCGAACCCAGGCCCCCTGTGTTGGGAGCGCAGAGTCTTAACCACTGGGCCACCAGGGAAGTCCTTATACTTAAAAATTTTGGTTTAAAACAAAAAGATGAGGAATGATCAAAGGGGACTGAGTTGCGTCCAGAGACGGGAGCACAGCCAGGAGCCCATAGTGCCGCGGAGCGGGAGGGGGAGTCTGAAGGCGGTGAGGGGGCAAGCAAGGACCTCGGAGGCTTCCTGGAGGTGGCTGAGGCCTGTGGCAAGAGTAGTGAGGGCACAGAGACTGGAGATGGAAGTCAGGCTGCGGGTGGCTATGAGAAGCAATGTGGGGCATTGGTTAAGCCCCTGGACTCTGGAGCCAGGCCTTGGAATTGAACCCTGGCTCTGCTGCCTACCAGCTGTGTAATCCTGGCAAGTCATTAAACTTCTCTATGGCTCAGTTTCCTCAATGGAGACAGTCATAGCCTGTCCCTCATGACATGTTGTAAGGATTGGCTCAATGTGGATAACGCTCTAAGGAGAATGTGAATGTATCATCGCCAAGTGAAGATGATTAGGGGAGAGTTTTGCATAGGATGCACGGAGGAGAGAGTTGGGGGACCTCTAATCAGCATAGCCAGAGAGAAGAGGGGGATAGGGCATTCTGGCAGAAGGGACCACCGGATGGAGGGAGCTCGGTGTTGGCGACAATGTTGGGGGCTGTCACAGCAGCGGAGGGGCGTTGGTAAAAGGAGGATGGAGCCTCAGGGAAGGCTTGGCCAAGGAGGTGCCAGGACCTACCTCCAGTCGCCTGGGCCCCGCCCGTTCCAGCCCTCCCTCCTCTCCACATCCCCAACCTTCCCCCTAAGCCACCCCAGGGTCCGAGGGATCTTGCCCTCCAGCCGTTTATCCCCCTCCCCAGGCACCTGGCGCCCCCGAAGATCAATCGTGTTTGCGAGCTGGGGGGCAGAGGAGTTTGGGCTCATCGGCTCCACAGAGTTCACGGAGGTGAGCGAGCCCCGCAGCTCGCCGCTCGAGGGGGTTTCCGGGGCAGGGCAGGGCGGGGCTGACGGGGTCCCACCCACCTGCAGGAGTTCTTCAGCAAGCTGCAGGAGCGCGCCGTAGCCTACATCAACGTGGACATCTCGGTGTTTGGTATAAGGGGCGGCTGGGCTGACTTGGGGAGGAGGGAAACGAAAGGGCGGGGCCCGAATAGAGTCTTTCTCGGATCCCCTCACAGCCAATGCCACCATGAGGGCGCAGGGGACGCCCCCGGTCCAAAGCGTCATCTTCTCTGCAACCAAACAGGTGGAAATGGGAGGGGCTGGGAGCTGGGCTGGGAGGAGGACGGGCGGGGCGGGGCTACACGGGGTAGGCGGAACTGGAGCTGATACTTATTAGAAGGGCTGGGGGGTGGGACTGAGGCTGCGGGGTGGGCCTTGTAGGACCCGCAGGACTGTGCGTGGGCTGGAAACTTGGGTGGGCAGAGCGGAGGACCAGCCTGGTCGTTGGGCCTGGGGAGGGGCCAGCCCCGCGACTAGATCCCCCTGCGCTCAGATCTGCGCACCAGGCTCCAGCAGTCTCAGCATCTATGACAACTGGATCCGATATTCCAACCGTAGCAGCCCGGTGTACGGCCTGGTCCCCAGGTGAGCCCAGGGCCGGGCTGGGGACTCTGGGCTGGTGAGCTGGCCCCGCGCCCTGCAGCCTAACCATCTTCCTTCCCACAGCCTGGGCACTCTGGGTGCGGGCAGCGACTACGCACCCTTCATTCACTTCCTGGGCATCTCCTCCATGGACCTATGACCGGGTAAGCGGACACCCCTCCGTCCCCCATCCCGGTTCCTTGCTCCACCAGCCCCCTCCTCTCCTTCGGGCCGCTCCAGTGCAAACTGAATCCGGCTCCATCACTCAGTAGCTGTGCTACCTCAGCCAAGTTTCTTTACCTCTCTTGAGCATGTTCACCCTCATCTATGTTATTTTATCAAATTTAAGATACAACTGAGTATAAGATGCACTGTTATGATATGCACTATTCAGGAGGGAAAAAAGCACTGTCAATTAGTTGCAGGATGACACTGACTGTAAGAAGCATCCTGATTCCAGAGATCTTAAAATGTTTATCTCAGAATAGATTAAATAACAGTATAAACCAGGGGTGGTCTGAGGATAAAATGAGATAAGGGATGCAGAGTGCCCAACCTGTCTCCCTGTTTGATGCTCCAAAAGGCCCTTTCTCCCCTCCATGGCTGCACCACTCTTGAGTGGTGGAGTTGGGATTTGAATCCTCTTGTCTGACTGCAAACCCCAGGTTCTTCTCCTTCATGTGAAACGGGAAACTGGCACCTGACCCAGCTTTGCCACTTATTAGCTGTGTGATGTCAGGAAGGTTACTTAACCTCTCTGAGCCTGCTTCCACCTCTGTAAAGTAGGAATCCTAGAACCTTCCTCACAGCTGTGGTGACAACTGAATTGAAATAATGTCTCTACATTGTACACTTCCTTCCACTACCCATCCCAAGCTTGTCACCTCTGGGTCTTGTTCCCCCAGAGCAAGACCTCAGCCCGGATCTACCCTACCTACCACACAGCCTTTGACACCTTTGATTACGTGGACAAGTTTGTGGACCCTGGTGAGGATGAGGGCAAGGGGCATCCTGAGGCTGGAGGAGGATGGGCTGAAGACTGAGCCCTGGCCTTGTTGTGCTTCCTGCAAGGTTTCAGCAGCCATCAGGCCGTGGCCCAGACAGTGGGCAGTGTGCTTCTCCGGCTCAGTGACAGCCTCTTCCTGCCTCTTAATGTCAGTGACTACAGCGAGACCCTCCGCAGCCTCCTGCAGGCTGCCCAGCAGGACCTTGGTGGCCTGTTGGAGCAGCACAACATCAGCCTGAGTACGGAGCCCTCCCAACATTGAGGCATGGGGAGCCCTGCACCTCCAGGGCTAAGATGCTGGCTGTTCCCCACAGGACCTCTGGTGACCGCAGTGGAGAAGTTTGAGGAGGCAGCCACGGTGTTGGGCCAACACATATCAGCACTGCAGAAGGGCACCCCCGAGTGAGCAAGGGCTGCAAGCAGGTGTCTGGGAGGGCGGCATCCAGGGCAGGATGCAGGCTGGCAGCTGGGCTGCTGGCTGTAGGGTGACCAGAGGGCCCTGTCACCTCCAGCCCCCTGCAGGTGCGGATGCTCAATGACCAGCTGATGCTCTTGGAACGGACTTTCCTGAATTCGCAAGCCTTCCCAGAGGCACGCTACTACAGGTGAACCTATCCTGCAGCTCTTGGGAGGTGCAGTGAGATAAGGCTTGGCAATGGGCACCCGCCGGAGGGACGAAAATGTCAGTTTTGCTGGCCTTTAGAACACAACCCAGTCCCTTGAGACAGCTGGGGAGTCAGGCTCAAAGGATGGGAGGCAAATCGGTGAAGGTCACCCTGGGACTAGAACCTACATCTCTTCCCACCACCAGTGGAGAGGGGCTTTTGTGCCTAGCTGTATACAGGAGCTGTTCCGGGCTGAAGCTCCCCTCTCTCCTGGCCCCTGAATGGTCCTATCCTCCCCCATTTCTCCTGTCAGCCATGTGCTCTGGGCACCCCGCACCGGCTCTGTAGCCACATTCCCGGGCCTATCCAATGCCTGCTCCAAGGCCATGAACACAGGCCCCAGATCTGCAGCCTGGGCTGAGGTGCAGAGGCAGCTCAGCATCCTGGTGGTGGCCCTGGAGGGCGCAGCAGCCACCCTGAGGCCTGTGGCTGACCTCTGACCCTAGCCCTCATTCTTCAGCTCCCATCCCCACCCTTTATCCTAACCCTCTCCCACTCCAGTTTTCTTTGAGTGTGTCCCCGTCTCTCCTGATGCTAGGAAAGGGCACGACCACAGGACGCTCTCAAACTTCTGAGGCAACAGCTCAGGGCCCCACCAGTGCGGACACTTGAAGGGAGTGACAAGCCCCAGATGAAACCTTCCCTCTTCCTCACTCTTGGTTGGCAGAGGGTGAACAGGAGATAGCGATGGTGGGGATAGCAAAACCACCAACTGCTCTTGGTGGTGGGTGGGTGAGGATGGGACGCACAATGGCAACCTTAGATATCAACTCGGAGGCCACCAGAGCTACTCCTCAGTGACCAGCAGGGAAACTGAGGCCCAGGGTGGATAGGGCATTGCCCAATTTGGGTTCCGCTCCCCGCCACGCACCTAGCATGTCTCAACTCCTCCCTGCCCTCCCGAAATAAATTGAGTCTAGCTGCTGTCCCTGCAAGACAAGTTCCTTTCACTTATTTATTTATTTTTAGACATTTTATTTATTTATTTTTGGCTGCGTTGGGTCTTTGTTGCTGTGCGCAGGCTTTCTCTAGCTGTGGCTCGCGGGGGCTACTCTTCATTGCAGTGCGCGGGCTTCTCGTTGAGATGGCTTCTCTTGTTGCGGAGCATGGGGTCTAGGCGCGCGGGCTTCAGCAGTTGTGGCTCGCGGGCTCTAGAGCACAGGCTCAGTAGTTGTGGCGCACAGGATTAGTTGCTCCGCGGCATGTGGGATCTTCCCTGACCAGGGCTCGAACCCATGTCCCCTGCGTTGGCAGGTGGATTCTTAACCGCTGCGCCACCAGGGATGCCCAGCGAGTTCCTGAGCGCTTCAGCCCCAGTCCTGGGGCTCTGGGAGACTGCACAGCCCTCCTCATGCCGCAGACTTGGGTCTGTCCACAGCCTCATCTTCCTCCTCTGCTGTGACCACCTCTTCCAGGGTGCGCCCTCCAAGCTTGTTCCCCACCAGTACTTGGCAGGTCCCGGCAGGTGGCAGCCCCTCCTCAGTGTAGCAACCCCTCAGGAACACAACTCTCTCCTGTCCATCTAAGGGCAGTCCATGGGCCTGGCACAGGTCCCGTGCCTCCTTGGGCCCATCCAGGGCCAGCAGGTGGACCATGAAGCCCAGGGGCAAGGTCTGGCCTTTGGGAGTGCTCAGGGCACGAGCGAGGCGGGCCAGGGCTCCCCGGCGGGCACGGCCCACATGGCACTGCACGGCGCAGCTCTGCAGGTAGGGCAGGGTCCGGAGCAGGCGAAACAGGCGTGCAGTGTTGCCTTCGCGGAAGGCAGAGTCGACTGCCAGGGCGGTGCGCAGGGCTGGGCAGGAACGCAGGGCAGTGGGCAGCTGCAGAATCTCGTGAAGGGCTTCCACCGAGCCTGTGAAGGTGGGAAGCCCGAATGAGGATGCTGATTCCTTCTGGAGCAGGCCCACCTTCCGTGCCATCCCCTTAGGTCTCCCCCTATCTCCCCTCCCACCTGCTCGGGTCTTCGGCCACGCCACCTCCTTCCGGCCCTCCACGGAGCTCATCACCCTACCTCACTCCCCCCCCCCCCCCCCCTCCCAGTCTGGCCACGCCCCTCTCCCAGGCCAAGCCCACCCTCCCTCCCCCTTTCCCCCTTGGCCCCTTCCTAAGCCATATCAGAATTTGTTGCCAGAGGTTCAAGAACCCCTTCAAATAGTCTGGGTCCTCATAATAAAGTGAGGCAGTGTCTACAGAGGAAGGAAACAGGCCCAGATAATTTAATGACTTGCCTCAGACTGCCTTAGAGTTTGTATGTAGCAGAACTTGACCCAACCAAATCTGAGTTTTCTGACTTCCAACCCAGTCCTTTCTCCACTGCCGTAGCTGCCCCACGATTTGGGAGTTGCTTCTGCCACATCCTCCTCTGTCCGCCTGGTGAGGCAATTATTTTGTCAAATTCTGCCTCTGCTCCCCTTCCAAGAATCACGACACCGGAAACTTGGGTCACTTTTTGTAAACTGAGGCTTCTGACCCATTAGTGGATTGTTAAGTCAACAGCATTTTATTACAATTAAGTAGAATTTATTAAAATGCACCATCCATCCATAGAAAAGATCTAGTCTTGAACCTTCTGTTTCAGATACGTTTGTTAGCCTATGTGTTCTTGGCTGCTTTGTAACACTGACTGAACTGGAGGTTTAAAATAAAGCTTGAAAACCACTATCTAGGTCAACTGTCCCATTCTAACCCCATCCCCTCCACTTCTGTAACGAGAAAACTGAGACCCAAAGATGGGAAGAGACAGGCCAGAAGGTCCAAGTAGGGGCTCGGTGCATCTTGTGCATTGGCCGAGACACACATTTAGGAGGCAGGGATGGAGAGGGAGCTACTGGTGAGGTTTTAAAGCTTCTCCTTCCTTTCCCGGCCTCCACTGTCCTCACGGAGGGCCGCCTGCCCCTTGTTCTATCGCGGGGACACCGACTCACCTAGGTTATAGAGCAGAAAGAGGCCCTGGAAGGTGGCCTGGCGGGGGTGGGGCCCGGCGCCCAGCGCATAGCAGCGCCGCAGAGAACCAAAGCCCTCCTGCACCTGGGCCTGCAGCAACATCGGGTCCGCTGTCCCGTGCACTGTGCTGGGTCCGAGCCGCGCCACCACTGCCAGCAGCACTGCCAGCGCCGCTTCCAGCACCAACGCCGCCTCGACGTCGCCCGCGCCCTGAAGGGCCAGGTCCAGCCGCACAGCGCGCAACCGGTCCGCCACGAAGCTGGCTACCTCTGCGCGGGACGCGTCGGTGCGCTCCACCACCTCGCTGGCCAGGTAGCGCACGGTGGCCAGCAGCACGGACGGCGGACGCAGCTGACTCGGTGGGGGCCGGATCTTCCCGGCGGCCGGCCGGCTGTACTCCTTCACTGCGCGCTGCGGGTCGGCTCGGGGCCTGTGCCCGCGACACCCCGGCGCCACCTCGAAGCGGTGCAGGCGGCGCTCCTTTTCGCGCTGGGCGCGCTCAGCGGCCGGACACATGTCCACGCACGTGCCCACGGGCAGCTCGTAGCCGGGCATGGGTGGGCTGGGGGGGAAGGATGGGCGCGCAGCATCCCGTGGACAGGTGCGGCCACTCGCCCCATCCTGCGGGAGAGCACGCCAAGGCCGGCGGAGGCTCAGGGGAGGCGGGGCGGGGCCGACCCCGACGGGCCCGCCTCCCGGCCCTGGTCTAAGCATCGCCGCCGCCCGTTTGGCTCCGCCGTTCTCTCACCGAGTCCTGTGGCTTCCCACAGATCTTCGAGCAGGCCTCCCGAGATGCTCTGCGTTGTAGTTCAGGGTCAACACTGTACCTCACGCTCAGGACCAGCTAAAGCCCGCCCATCATGCACCTCTGCGGTCCGGGCCACTCCCATGATGCACCGGTTTGTAGTCCCTCCCGCAACCAATCGCTTTGTAGGAGAGGCGGGGCAGGAGTGGGGCCACGCCTTCCCAGGCTACAGCCCTCTGAATCATCACGGTTTGGCTTTGAACCACGGGCCCGAAGTGCGTGCACCCGCTTTGGTTCCTCTTCACCCAATAACCTGACTCAAGGGGCCTTGCTGTCATTCTCTAATGTTTCCCTGGAGACTCTTCTCCCTATTTTCTAGATCAGGGGTCAGCAAACTTTTTCTGCAAAGGGCCAGAACAGTAAATGTTCTGGGATTTACAGGTCGTAACCAGTCAACTCTGCAATTATTCAACTGCTGGTGTAGTGAAAAAGCAACCAGAGACAACATGCAAACAAACAAGCCTGGTTGTGTTCCAATAAACTTTTATTTTTTAGATACTTACATTTCATGTAATTTTCACCTGCCACAGAATATTATTCTTTTGAATTTTTTCAACTATTAAAAAAAAGTAAAAATTCTTCTGGCTTGTGGGCCTTACAAAAAAAGGCAGTGGGCCATATTTGGCTGCGGGACATAGTCCGCAGACCCCGGTTCTAGATGGATAAACAAAGAGCCTAGGGACCAGAGCTGCTGCTCACATATCAAGATAGAGACAGGCAGGATCAGACTTGTGAGTCCCTGATTCCAAGGTGGCAGGTGTGGTCAGGGAGCTGAGATTCATTATTTGTCTCATTCTTGGTCCAGTTACACACAGAAATGGCCTCTGGAGTTACAAGACCAGAAGATCAGGCCAGGCACCAGGGAGAGGAGAAGAGGGTGGCTGGCAGTGCTGGAGCTAGAGTCCTGGGAAAGGGTCCTGTCCCGTCTCAGGGTGGGAGCTGGGACAGATGCAGGTGCAGGATTTCCTCTGCCCGCTTCAGGTACTCAGCAGCCTTCTTCTTCACACCCTCCCGGCGGGCAGGTGATGGGTCACCTGTGAAGACAGAATGGCTCAGCAGAAGTACCTGGGCTCAGAACCCCTGGTCTAGCCCCTTACAGTTCAGAGCATCACCATGTGTCTTTCCCTGCTCCCTGGGAGGCAGATATATTCTCCCCATTTTACAAATAAAACTGAGGCCACAAGAGGTAAAGAAACAACCCAAGGTTATACAATTGGTCAGTGAGGAGCAATTCTGATCCTTGACTTGTTTTTTACTTTCCTCTCTCTTCACTGCACCAGCCAGTACCCCAGGCCTGACCCTCCGCCCTCCAGTCCCGCTCACCAGAAACTCCCTGAAGCAGGATGTGCACACCATCCCGGTAGCCCTGCAAAGCTGCAGGGTAGGCGCCTGCCTTCTCATCCCGCAGGGCCTGGGTGATGAGCTCTGTGGCTTCGCTCAGATAGGCAGGGGTGGGCCCTCCTTCCTCGTCCTCTTCCTCCGCCTGCCCTCCTGGCTCCCAGGGTTCCTGGTCCAGTCTTTCAGATTCTGCCTCCAATGCTGCCAGCTCACCCATGTGGGTAGGACTGGGGCCTACACCTTCTGCAATCAGATATGGAGGACTCAAGCCAGACTGGACCTCCTATTCCCAGGGCCTGCTGTCCATCCCCAGACCTCTCTTGCCCACCAACCTGTCCTGGGTTCTTCAGTGCCTGAGCAATCCAAAAGCCACTTGTACATAGCACACTAGCCATTATCTATTTGATTGGTGGAGTTCGTGTACTTTGGTAAAAACACCCTTACTTCCCTAATTCATTGTTTCCCTTTCCTTCTTTCTTTTTCTTTCTTTCTCTCCTCCTTTCTTTCTTTCTTTCGAGGTATAATTGATTTACAATATTATATACGTTTCAGATGTACAATGTAGCCTAACCCTTTCTTTAGGTTCACGCTAACATTAGTTTGCAAGCTCTGGGTCACTGGTTCTACTTCTGTCCTGACTACGCTTGACCTATAAATCCAAGAATTTCCTCCATAAAGTTTAACTGAAGGACGCTAAACCAACTATGCCAGGTCAAGGCATAGTTGAAATGCTCCAAGCCTTGTAATCTTAGGATAATGGATCCAGAAAATCTCAAGGCTTTTTTAAGGTCTTACAATTTCAGTTGAGGCCCCCAAATGTGAAGACAGTGGGTGGTAGGTATTCGCACATTCCAGAGAGAAGGGCTCTTATATCCTCTAGGACTGGCAAAGAGATGGTTAAAGATGCCCTCCATAGCTTACACAAAAGAAGGCTAAAGATTTGGTGAATCTTTGATGAAAGGGCCTTTGAAGGGAAGGTGCAGGACTGGGAACCACCGCTGCACACCACTGGCCTGGAGAGGGAAGGGTGGGCCTCTCTCCAACCCTACCCAAGGGACCCCATGTGGAGACCAGGGGCCTCTTACAGGAAGGGGAGGTGACATCTCACTTCCCAGTTCGACTACAGCCCTCCCTGTGTTGCTAATGGAGCAGAAGACGGAAGAGTTCTTGGGATGCCCTAGTACTTGAGTTCAAGAGCCCGGTGTATGTGCTGAAGAGAGAGAAAGCGCCGGCTTCTCGCCTGGAGAATTCCGATGGTGAAAGGCTGGCTGGAGGTGCCCACAAAGTGGGGCAAGGGTAGAAGGCAGCATCTGAGTGAAGTGCACTTCCAGGCCTGGTGTGGGCAAGGGTTTAGGAGTTTGTCCGTGGGCCAAGGGAATGTCTTATGGGAGCTGCCTTTGAGGAGTCTTGACAGGCTCCTGCCCAAGCATCTGGGCACTGGGTACCCCAGGGGGCCTGGCTGGGGCAAGGCAGAGTATCTGGATGCCCGCCTACCTGTGGCCGGTTCATCAGCCATGGTGACACCATTCTTGCCTTTCCCCTCCAGTCCCTTCTTTCCCTTGCCCAGCCCTGGGAGCGGGGCACGGGGGTAAGAAGAACGAGAAGAGTAAAAGGACAGTCCTCACACCCATGTCACCATGGCCAAGGGCAGTCAGGCCTGAGCTGGCGGGGACGTGGATGGGAGAAAAGTGGATGGGAGACTGAGGTCCTGATTTGGATCGGACCCCAGAAAGCTAAGGGCCTACCCAAGAGGTGCACCAAGGGAAGCCAACAAAATGGGCTTAAAAAGACTGCTGCGGAATCCACAATGAAACTGCTGCATGATGATCCAGAAGTGCAATCAGCCACTTCAATACCCCAGTTGCAGTAACAGCATAAACTTGGAGAATTTTAAAACGGAAAGACCCCATGTCTCAGAGCCTGGGATGGTCAAGTCCCTGATCTGACAAGGAGCTCAGGACCAGGGCCTCCATGGGGGGCCTTCCACCTCTGGTGCCCTCACATGTCAGTGGCTGCTCCAGGGGCCTCCTCTGCTGTCCTCTGAACCCAGACCTCCCCTCCCTTGACCAACAGGGCCTCTTGGCAGAAGATCTACAGCCAGACCCCAAGCTAGCCAGGAAACCCCACCTTGGGGTTCCAGCAAAGGAACTGAAACCCTCCCAGGGCATGGTGGCATCCTGCTGGTTCCACAGCTTTCTCAGGGAGAAGATGCCATGGTGGGAAGTGGCCCACTTCCTCCGTGGTTGCTCACTGTACAGGACCGCCCAGCTCGCCAGCACGGGGGAAGGTCACTGCTTCTAATTCACACCAAGGCTGCCTTTCACCCACAGGGGCCGCCTTTCTCAGATTTACACGGGCAAGGTGAGGCCAGCCAGTGGCTGTGCCCGCCTCTGCCTCCCTGCCCCTAAGGACCTCCTGCCCAGCTACCCCTCTCACCCCACCCCTCACTTGTCCCAACTTGTTACCTTCCTTGGAGAAGGGGTCAAAGAGGGCAAGCTCAGCCTCGGTGAGAGGGCCTCGGCCGGGGGAACTGGACGCCTCCTCGGTGCTCCCACAGTTAAAGAGGAGATCCAGGGCCTCCTGGGCAGGGCTGGATGGCAGGGGGTCCACTGAGGAATAGATCATTGGGGACACTCATGCCTGCTTTTATTATTTCCCAGCTTTCAAAATGTAATTACCCTCTCGCTGTATCCTTTCAGCAACCACAGGCATACATAAGCCCATTCTTAGGGTTTGTGCCCATTTTACAGATTAAGAAGCTAAAGCCCAGAGAAGGAAAATGACCTGTGCAGAGTTCCTCAGCAGGATGGTGGCAGAGGAGCTGGGAAACACCCCAGGCTTTTCACTGAGGAGGGAGTGGTCCCCACCCCCCATATACACATGCTCTGGGCCCAGCCCTGGCTCCTTCTCCCACCCCATGTACCTGGCACCTCCAACTCCTCGAGGCCCCTCCTCTCTGCAGGGAGCGGCTGGGGCAACCAGGGCTCATGAGGCTGCACCCGGGGTTCATCAGGGGGCGGTGTGGGGATCAGAGGGGGTGGCAGGATATGCACGTCTCTGGACATCTCGGAGGGCCGTGTCACCTCCCCACCCTTCAGGAGAGAAAGACCAGCCAGGGGGAGTCACAGGGTGCAGCCTGGTGGGCAGGTAAGCTTCCCAGGTGCAGAGGACAGGCGAGGAGCAGGCACACGTACCCGGAAGAACTCCTTGAGTTGGGGGCTGTTGTTGAGTGCGGGGATGTGCACAGTAAAGCGAAGCAAGTCCTCGGCCCCCTTTCGCCGCTCCTCGATCACCGAGGCTTCAAACCGGCCTGCACCCGCCAGGACAAGGGGCAGGGAGAGAACAGTGACCCACAAGGGCTTCTGGCCCCCAGGCCAATTTTCCTGGTTCTGAGGAGCCCACTGCCCCCCTCCCCATTCTCCTAGGAATCTTCCTTGGCTCTGCCTGGGGTGAGGGTCTTGCCACGAGGGACCAATCTCCCTATTCATCCGTTTACCAGATGTTTGTTGAGCACCTACTATGTGCTAGGTTCAGAAGGTGAATGAGAGAAA